GGAGCAGGACTCCAGGGAAGGGGGGAGGCCGGGGGAGGCGGGGGGAGGCCGGGGGAGGCAGGGGGGGAGGCCGGGGGAGGCCCCGGGGGAGACTGGGGAGCTCCTCCCCTCCCGGCCCCCAGGCTGGGCATCCTCGGAGCACGGGAGAGGCGGGGTACATGCTCAGGCAGGTAGAGCCCGAGAGCACCCGCACACACCTCCCTGGAACGTTGAAACGCTGCAGTGCACGTGTGCACTGCGTTCCCAGGAGCAGACGGCACCCAGAGTTAACGTTTCACCTGTAACCCTGGCAACACAGCGATGGGCCAAGCTCCTGGGGACAGACTCGCCAGCCAGTGCTCACAGCGGTGACCTTCTGAACTGAGACCAGACTCAGAGGGGCCACACAACACCCCTGAGAGCCACGGGCAGCAGGGACCCCAGCCACGCGCTCCAATCCCAGCTCACCCCACATGGAAGCCAAGAGAATTGCCCGGCTGAGCTGGCTGCGGCCGGGCGGTGAACTTTAGTGCCTGTAGGAAGCCTTCTCTGCGCTGGTCAACCAGCAAATACCATTTGGGGGGGCGGTATTTGGGGGTTCATCATGTGGCCGAGCTCAACAGCAGCCAGAGCTAGAGCCAGGTCCAAATCCATGTCTAGGAAGTGGCGCTGTGGCTCAAGCAGTAGAGCGCCATCCTTGAGCATTTGAAAAGCTCAGGGACCGCACCCAGGCCCCGAGTTCAAGCCCCAGGACTGGCGCAGGCACACACGATGGATCCAACTCGGGGCCTTGGTGGGCAGGACGCGGGGTGGTGCGCAGAGCAAGGATCGGGCCTCACAGGGACTTTTTTAGGGAGCCTCATCCTGTGCTGGCCCCGGCCGCACCCTCCCGGTGGCTCAGAAATCCCCGGGTCACCGCGGGGGTGGGGGGGGAACCACGCCGGGAGGGGTGCGGGGGGCCACGCCGGGAGGGGTGCGTTTTCTCACCCCACGGAGGTGTCTCCTCTCCTCCTCTGCCGCTGCCCACCTGCCCCTCCCTTGGCCTTCCCGTTCCCCCACGGGGACACAGCACACACACGGCTGAGCCAAGGGGAAGGAGGGGCAGCGCACAGATACCAGGGCCCACGGTCACCCCAGAGCTCACGGTCACCCCGGGGCCCACGGTCACCCCAGAGCTCACGGTCACCCCAGAGCTCACGGTCACCCTGGGGCCCACAATCACCCTGGGGCCCACAGTCACCCCGGAGCCCACAGTCACCCCAGGGCCCACAGTCACCCCGGGGCCCACAGTCACCCCAGGGCTCACGGTCACCCTGGGGCCCACGGTCACCCCAGGGCCCACAGTCACCCCAGAGCTCACGGTCACCCTGGGGCCCACGGTCACCCCAGGGCCCACAGTCACCCCAGAGCTCACGGTCACCCTGGGGCCCACAGTCACCCCAGGGCCCACAGTCACCCCAGGGCCCACAGTCACCCTGGGGCCCACAGTCACCCCAGAGCCCACAGTCACCCCAGGGCTCAGGTCACCCCAGAGCCCACGGTCACCCCAGGGCCCACAGTCACCCCAGAGCTCACGGTCACCCTGGGGCCCACAGTCACCCCAGAGCCCACGGCCACCCCAGAGCCCACGGTCACCCCAGAGCTCATGGTCACCCCAGGGCCCACGGTCACCCCGGGGCCCACGGTCACCCCAGAGCTCACGGTCACCCCAGAGCCCACAGTCACCCCTGGGCCCATGGTCACCCCAGAGCTCATGGTCACCCCGGGGCCCACGGTCACCCTGAGACCCACAGTCACCCCTGAGCCCACGGTCACCCCAGAGCTCACGGTCACCCCAGAGCTCACGGTCACCCCAGGGCCCACAGTCACCCCAGAGCTCACGGTCACCCCAGGGCCCACAGTCACCCCAGGGCCCACGGTCACCCCAGGGCCCACAGTCACCCCAGAGCCCACGGTCACCCCGGGGCTCACGGTCACCCCGGGGCCCACGGTCACCCCAGAGCTCACGGTCACCCCAGAGCCCACGGTCACCCCGGGGCCCATGGTCACCCCGGGGCCCATGGTCACCCCGGGGCCCACGGTCACCCCGGGGCCCATGGTCACCCCGGGGCTCACGGTCACCCCGGGGCTCACGGTCACCCCAGAGCCCACGGTCACCCCGAGGCCCATGGTCACCCCGGGGCCCATGGTCACCCCGGGGCTCACGGTCACCCCAGAGCCCACGGCCACCCCAGAGCTCACGGTCACCCCAGAGCTCACGGTCACCCCAGAGCTCACGGTTACTCTGGTTCTGCCCTTTAAAGATAAACTAGGAACACAGCTCCAGCGCAGCTGCATCCAGTGAGAGCATGGAGTTGTTTTTGTGCGGAGGGGCAGGCGTGTGGACGCGGGGAAGGCCGTGGCCGCCCCGTGTCCTCCGTGGGGTCACCACGGACAGGGCCTCGTGGAGATCGGGGCAGAGGCCGCGCCCGCGGGCGATGGCTCTGCCGGCCCGGCCGCGGTGTCTTGTCTGCGCTGGTGGATTATTAACAGGGGTCATCGGTTACCATGGCGAACCATTGAACGATTGCACCGACGTAATCTCATTTATGGGGTGCAAAGAGGAAAAAAACCCACGCTGCGGGCGGGGAGGAGGTATAAAGGCCCGGCACCCGCGGGGGACGCAGAGAGCCGACACCGGCCAGCGCCGGCCTCCCCGCCCGGACAGCCAGGCCACGAGGGACCCAGCATGTGCACCGGCAGCTGCGCCAAGTGTCTGGGGGTCACCCTCATCCCCCTGGCCGTGCTGGCCTTCCTGGCCAACGTCCTGCTGTTCTTCCCGGGGGGGAAGGTCATGGCGGACAACAGCAACCTGTCCGACGAGGTCTGGTACTTCGGGGGCATCATAGGAAGCGGGGTCCTGGTGAGTAGGGGCCCGAGCCCCCGTCCACGGCCTGCCCCGCCCTTCTAAGCAGGGCCCTGCCCCATCACCCGGCCCAGCGCGGCCTGGCCGGACGCCCCCGGCCCGGGACCCCGGCCCCTCGGGACACCTGTGCTCCTGCTGCGTCCCTGGAGTGCGGGCTCTGGGTCCCCCCGCACTGACTCCCTCTTCACCCCAATGCCCCGGGAGCCGGGGGGGCCGGGCCGGGCCGCAGCGTCCCAGGACGGAGGACCGGGCTCCCACCCCGCCGGTGCGGCCGGCCGAGCGCCCTGACCGCTGCCCCGCCGTCCCGCAGATGATCTTCCCCGCCCTGGTCTTCCTGGGCCTGAAGAACAACGACTGCTGTGGCTGCTGCGGAAACGAGAGCTGCGGGAAGCGCTTCGCCGTGAGTCCCGCCCGCCCGGCCTCACCCCTGCACCCCTGAGCCCCCCCGCCTCACCCCTTCAGCCCTGAGCCCCCCGCCTCACCCCTGCACTGCTGAGCCCCCCCGGCACCCATGAGCCCCCCCACTACTGCCCACACCCCTGCTCCCCTTCTGGTACCTGTAGTCCTTCATGTGCTCTCCCTCCTCCCTGTCGCCTGGG